CCACACCCCCAGCATCTTCACTGACACGATACGACGAATGATACCACGGATCGTACGACGGACTATACCAAGGACTATACGACGCCACCGACATTTACGGAAATGATAAGCGCCAATGTAAACATTTGTATAGGCGGACGCCCAATAACAGCGCTGGTAGATACTGGCGCGGACTTCTCTATTATTAGCCGTAAACTCGCCGACCACCTAAAGAAAGTCAGAACAATATGGACGGGCCCAAACATAAGAACCGCAAGGGGTCAATTGATGATGCCGACGGGCTCGAATACCGCTCAAATTAATATCCGCAGTTCAGATTTCGTCGCTACTTTCGTAATTTTATCGGAGTGCTGCAAAGACCTGATTTTGGGCATGGACTTTCTCCATGAATACGGCACCGTTATCAACATTCCTGAGAGATCGGTTACGTTTTGGATGGCCCCAGGTCAAGTTTCGGATGGGCCCTGTACAGACCAGCGACGTAAACCTTTGCGCGTCTTCGACGACGTGACCATCCTGCCGCAGTCGAGTGCACTCGTCGCTGTGACATGCGACACGTCGAGCAATTCTGAAAACATTGCCGAGCGAATTCCAACACTGCTATTCAGCCATGGTTTATCTATCGCAAGAGGCGCCGTGAGCATACAATGTGGACACAGGCACGTCCTTGTTACGAACTTCAGCTCTGAACGCCGACATCCGACGAGGGGCATGGCAGTCACGTACATGGAAGAACTTGCCGAGATGACAGACTGCCTAACTCTTGCGAAAGATAATTCAACTGATCTGTGCCCCGTACGTATATCTGTTGATACTGGCCCAAGTTTGCTGCCGGGGCAGAAGCAAAGTATCCTGCAGCTTATTAACCAGTTTGCAGATTGTTTCTCTTTGACGTCCAGGGTCCATCAAACACCACTGACGAAACATTGAATTATAATAGACGACATGACCAGACCCATCAGGCAAAACCCGTACCGGGTAGCTTCGCGGGAACGTGAAGCCATCGAAAAACCAGGTGCGACAGATGCTTGAAGATGACGTTATTCAGCCGTCGAAAAGCCCTTGGGCTTCGCCGGTTGTATTAGTGAAGAAAAAAGACGGCACCTTACGTTTCTGCGTGGATTACCGCAAGCTGAATCAGGTGACAAACAAAGACGTCTACCCACTTCCGCGTATCGACGATTCACTCAATCGACTACAGCATGCGTGTTATTTCTCGTCGATGGATCTAAAGAGTGGGTATTGGCAGATAGATGTCGATGAAAGAGACCGGGAGAAAACAGCTTTCGTGACACCTGATGGCCTTTTTGAATTTAAGGTACTTCCATTTGGCTTGTGCTCAGCACTGGCAACGTTTCAGCTGCTAATGGATACCCTACTATCAGGCCTCAAGTGGCAGACATGCTTAGTGTATTTAGATGACATCGTATTTTCTGCCACATTCGACAAACATGTCAGGTGACTGCACTCAGTATTTCAAGCTATTTGTTCTGCCGGACTAACACTTAAGCCAGAAAAATGCCACTTCGGCTTCGAAGAGCTTCTGTTCCTGGGGCATCTTGTCAGCAGTGAAGGTGTATGGCCTAACCCCGAAGAATTAGCTGCCGTTACAAATTTTCCAGTGCCAACTGACAAAAAGGCAGTCAGACGGTTTTTAGGACTGTGTGCGTACTACCGAGGCTTCATCGAGAACTTCTCACGCATTACCTCGCCGTTGACTTGCCTTACCAGAGAAGACGTCGCATTCGTATAGAATGTAGAACAGCAAAAATCATTCGACAAGCTGCGGCAACCTCTTCAGAAGCCACCAGTCCTCGCGCACTTTGATGATGAAGCCCCGACAACAATGCACACCAACGCTAGCAATGTCGGCTTAGAAGCTGTACTCATGCAGTGGCAGAATGGCGCCGAACGAGTAATTGCTTACGCGAGCAGAACTCTTTCACGTGCGGAAGAAAATTACTACCCCACGGAAAAAGAGTGCCTTGCGGTAGTGTGGGCCGTTATGAATCTCTGCCCATATTTGTATGGTCATCCTTTTAATGTTGTCAGCGACCATCATTCCCTCTACTGGCTGACAAATTTAAAAGACCCTTTAGGACAGTTGGCGCACTGGAGCCTGAAGCTTCAAAAATTTGACATGACGGTGGTCTACAGATCGGGAAGCGACATTCAGACACCGATTGCCTTTCTCGTGCACCATACGAACCTGCAACGACAGAAGATGACGATACAGCCTTGGTCGGAGTTGTAAACACGGCTACTGTCGCACACCTGCAACGAGACGACCTGGAACTAGAACCCATATTTCGTTTTTTGGAGGGTCGCACTTCAGCTGTACCTAGACTATTTGTGGGAGGGCTTTTGTCATTTTGCTTGCGGAACGACGTCCTCCATAAGATGAACTTCACGTCACTCGGAAACGACTACTTACTCGTTGTGCCAACATCTCTAAGGAGTGAAGTATTACAGGCATGCCACGATGAACCAATATTTGGCCAGTTGGGTTACACGCGTACACTATGCAGAGTGAGGCAGAAACACTACTGGCCAAGACTGACGGCGACCGTTCAACACTATGTTCGGACATGCCTCGATCGCCAGCGCAGAAAAGTCCCACCCGTCAAGCCAGTAGGCCTCCTCGATCATATTGACATGCCTGTTGCTCCATTCGCTCAAGTCAGAATGGATCTTTTGGGCCCATTTCCCACATCATCAGCAGGTCGCAGATGGATTATACTAGCCACCGACTACCTCACTCGTTACGCCAAAACCAAGGCTCTGGAGAAGGGCACGGCAAGTGAAGCAGCCCGATTTTTTTTGGAGAATGTGGTGCTGAGGCATGGCGCTCTGTCAGTGGTAATAATTGACAGGGGAACTGCATTCGCATCCGAACTATTACAGACAGTTTTAATACTTAGTGGCACATCCCACCAGCGAACAACGGCGTATCATCCACAAGCGAATGGTCTTACGGAGCGTCTCAACAAGACACTTGCGGATATGCTCTGCATGTACGTCAATGTGGAGCATAAAAACTGGGACGAGATCTTGCCGTATGTCACGTTCACCTATAACACGGCTCATCAAGAAACAACAAGAACAATGCCATTTCCCCTTCTTCATAGTCGTGAAGTCCCCACTATGCTGGATGCTATGCTGCCGCACGAGTGTGAAGACGACAAAACGGATGCTGATTATATCACCCAGCTTGCTGAAGGAGCCCGACAACTTGCACGCCTACGTATAAGTCGCCAGCAGGACTACGATTGAAGACGGTACAACCTTCGTCACCGACTAGTCTCATACGAGCCAGGAAAGAAAGTTTGGATTTTGACTCCTATTCGGCGCTGTGGCCTCTCAGAAAAACTGTCAAGACGGTACTTCGGGCCCTATAAAGTTCTACGACGTCTCAGTGACATTAATTGTGAGGTTGTTCCTGATACTGTGCACTCCTCAAGGCGTCGAAGGTGTGCTCTAGAATTTGTGCACGTTGTTCGGATGAAGCCTTATTTTTCGAATCAACTCATGCGTTTCCAACAAGTACAACCATTTCGATCATAAAGCATCGGGACAATGCTTCCTTGAATGGGAGGCTAATTTCACGGCTAAAGGTCGGGCAAGAAGACAGAGGACGACGAAGTGATGAGCGTGGACAGCACCCACGGTTGCTCCGAGGAAGACGACGTCGAAACGGCTGCTCTTTTGTTCTGTTAATACAGACCTTGTTTTTCCTGGTCGCACCGTCGTCCTGTATCGTATTATTTTCACGTCGCGACAATATAAATAAACTTCAGTGCATATTTCAGAATGCTAACCAATTCACGAGTAGTTGCTCATGGTAAAAAGTGTCACCCTACAAACTGATAAAGTTTATCAGTTCATCAGATTAATATAAGCACTGTTCACATTCCAACAATGGAACACCAGCAGGCTTTTCTCATAAAAATAGGAAAATTCTGTGCCAAATGTCACAAGCATTGAAGCGCTGCCTCGTTTCAGACTTTTTGTGTACATAATTAGCAACATTGTATAAAGCATTTATCATTCATACCATTTATTTACGGGTTGTTTATCTGCAAAATGTATATTCTGAATTTTCGTTGTTTTGAATGTTTTTCTGAAAATGAAGTGTTTTTATCAGTTGGCAGTAAAAGTTACCCTTTAAAATTTTAAATATTCCATAATATTTTTTTGCAGTACAACTTGTATTTTTTGGAAAGAGCATTTCATTATGTATATGCTGCAATGTGCGCTGGAGTGCTTTTTGAACTGGTAAAAAGATTTCTTATCGAATCCTACAAAAAATGACCATTTTCTTACAGCAACAAGAGTTAAATGGCCACTTTAAACTACTGTTGTAATATTTGCCTTAACAAAGATGCACATAAACTGAACATAAATTTACTAGGAGATACACAGTATTGCCAAGCTTAACTTGGTCACACGACAGCAACCTGCGAACATCTGTAAGCAGCCCTTCCTTCAATGTTTTTCTGATAATAACTAACACTAAACTATATCATGGTACAGTTGTTTGTATTCAGTTCTACTACACCTTTCTTTTTATCCAACAGCAAGTTTAGTAGCCAAGACTTTGCAAATACTATCTGCCAATTTTCTAATTAAAATGCATGTTTGCAAGTCTTATGTGCACCTTTTTGTCATGTATGTGGTTCTTCCCAGACTCTGATCAGCGTTTTATCATCAGTTGCAAACATGCAAACTTGGTGCCCAGTGCTCGTTATTTTCAATGGCAACATCTTAACACTTTGTTGGAATGTCTCAACTGGGTTCACCAGTCTCAAATGAAGCAAACTGTCGTTGAGATATCACCGATAGTTGCATCCGCCATATTATACTGCCAATTGTATTAAGTTATCACGTCATTCTGGTCAGCAGCAGTTGAATTACCTACATAACAGAAACATTCACAATCAAAACAGAGAAACATGCCAACAGGAAGAAAGTGGAGCCATCATTTAAAAGTGCCAACTCACATCGAATTCCATATATCATCAATGGGTCCAACTGCTGCTTTTTGTGTTTGCCCGAGCCTGAAATATTGGAGCGAGCCTGTGTCTCTCTGTCGAAGATGTGGTCAAGCAAGGTCAGAGCCATTTTCTCCGGTGTAGTGCAGGTATTGTTGATGTGGAACAATGTGGTTGGATTGATGGGGCATCGCACTCTCATCTCCGGATTCTTCTCATCCCCAAGCCAAGAACCTTGCGGGTAATCCGCTGTGGCCACGCCAAAACACCAGTATCAAGAATTAGGAGGTATAAAGCTTGCACAGCCAAGTGTGACACCACAATGTCGCATCAATGACCAGATATACAGCCGCATATTAAAGAGGTAAAGAGGTAAACAAACTAACAGGACATTTTATGGCCATGACACAAGGTCTATTATTAATGTTGAATGCTACCCTTATACAAGTTCTCCTTTCGTGCATCATGAATCATTTGCACCGCCATAAAGCAACATTGGTAGTATAAGTGCCCAATTATTATTGCGAAGAGAGGATTGTTACAGAATATGAAATATAAAGACGAAGGCCTCAAAGTATTAAACTGTAACAGGAGGCAAAAAAGAGCAAGTAACATTGCAAAAAATGATTGATTGATTGATAGGTGCTGGTTTGACATCCCAAAACCACCTTATGATTATGAGAGATGCCGTAGCGGAGGGCTCCTGAAATTTCGACCACATTACGAAAAAGTGAACTATAAATCAAGGACATAAGAGAGACAAAGATGACAAGTGCGGTTATTGACAACAAAAAGTTTATTAAAACACAAAACACAAAGAAAAGCATCACTGACCATGTGTCAAGAAACCAAATCTGTCCACAATAAAAAGGCCATTTTAGGTGATTCTCCACATAATAAATTGTAACGCTAATTGGCTTTTTATAACATTACCAATGGCTACATGGCACACTCACCAGCTGCCTTATGTATAGAGAACATTTGCGTGATTTCTCGCACTATAATGTCAACAGAACCCCACTGCAAACACTGGTAGTATTGCAATAGTAAACCTGCTTATAACGAACCTCCATATAATGAATTCCTCGATATAACAAAGTTTTTCTATTCTCCATCGTTGTTTCATAGAAGCACATGTATTTGCGACCTCTATGTACCAAAAGTGACAGCGAGAGACAACCTTCATATAACGAATTTTCCTCACGGACAATCTAGAAATTTTGCCCCGGATTCTGACATTTTGGTATGAGCATGCATCTTTTGCAAGTGCCCCACCGCCAATGAAGTGCGAAGCTGCGGCGGTGCGCACGGCGCCTTAAGTGAGAAAGAGCGCTATTATAGACCTTTATTCAAGCACACTAGCACTGCTAACGGGCACGCAAGCCCTTACGGGAAAAGTTGGTACGCAGCAGCAGCTGCCGCTACGAGCGCACGGGCCTCATGCTTCAACTTTCTATTTTCACCGTGACAGCGCTTCTCAGATCAAGTGAACATGGCAAGGTGCGATGAATTGCTGCGTGATTCACTCACAAACTCCAGTGTTTGGGTGCGATGACTTGTCTACGATTCGCACTTGTCCCCTGTTCCACCAGCTGAGTGGCTCAGAAGTGTCAGTTAATTATTATTATCCTTTAGCGTCAGTCCGCCTTCGGCATAAATAAAAACTGTACAACTTGGAGGTTTAAGCGCTCCATAAATTCCCGAATGCATTAGGAATCAAATGTCCTTTGACGCCGTTAATGAGTAAACTGTACGGTTCTGGTATATTTAAACAGTGCTTTTGAAATAGGCACAATTTCATAAAATAATAATACATTGACTAGACCACTGCACGCCGCTCGCAGCATATGTATCTACCAACCTCCCTCGACACTGTAACTGTAGGTTGGAATAAAGCCTATAAAAAGAAAGAAGTAGGACCAGGAAAGAAATTTGCATACCGGAAACGCTCACTCACGACTGAAAGGTTAGTCCCGCAACGAGCTCTAACACAGACTCGTATTATTCACTTCAGCCCGGTCACATCATGACATGTGTTTGTAAGTGCATCACCGAATGTAAGGACGAATATAGCTTCTTTATATTGCACGTGTGAGCAACCATATATAAAAAATGGTGGTACATCGCGCATGTCACAAAGAGGTACAAAAAAACTAACCGAGGCGTGTGTTTACAGTTGATTAACAAAGTTAAGTTTCTTGGTTGTAGCGACAGCGAAGGTTAATTGACTTAAACAAGGTGCAGTGTTCTTTATGATATGTCTCCGAGATTTCTCGCGTGGTCTTTTTTAGGGTGACTATGCAAGATTACCAGGCCTTCAAAGATTAAAGTGCCTTTTTATTACTGAAAACGTGATGTGTGATAACATGCCGTCATTCAATGAATTTTGATGCTCTCCAAGGCACATGTTGATACATCAACCAATTTGACCGATGTATATATGTGAACACAAGAGGAATTCGGTTAGCAACTCTTGCACAACCATTAAAAGAACAATTGGCATGCCTCTCAGTACTTTTCTCACTCTACTGCAAACCCCTGTGGCCTTTTATGCTCTACAGAAGAAATGCTACCAAGCATATGATGTGAAAAACACAACCCTCAGCTTGTATCGCTTCCAAACTTCTTTTCAGACCCTTCAGAACGTATGCATGGAATAACTGCAATATTCCTGGTTTCTTTGCGGGTGGTGGTCATTCGAATCTTTGTTTGCATTGCGAATGAGCTGTTCACAAACCGATGCAATATGATAAAAGCAGGACACCCCGCCTTCTTGCAGTCAAAACTATTGCTCATGTAATGTGCCCAAGTTTTTTTTTTTCTTCATTGAGCACAAATATGACATCATTATTCCTCATTAAATAATACTCGAAAGCGCCGATGCGATATTTTTTGCGTTGAAAGTGCGCTGATGCTTGCCGAGATAGCAGGCCTGCCAGCGATCGCGAACGCGCCCATAAAATCAATGTTCACCATTACTACTAAAGCGACCCCCCTTGCCACCGAAGCCCCCCTCCTTCCTCCGCATTTTTTATGCTTGTTCAAGACGGGTGGTTTACTTTCTGTTTGAGCATTCGATGGTTGTTCTAACATGCAGGGCATGTTATCCTATGCACTTCGAGGCAATAAAGATGGGCAGACTCATTTGATCTCTGCTTTAGCAGCATTCTCGCGCTTTTACCCGCTCGTGAAAGTTATAACACGCAGTGGTGCGTTGTCAATTTAGACTTGTTATGAAATGCGGCGACGACGGCGAAAACCCGCTGAGAGTATCGGTAAATTGCTGTCGCAATAATAGCTCAATTTTTTACTGCTCAATAAGTGTTTCAAATTACCTCTGCCTGCAGCCCCCCTTTTAATTTGTGCATTTATTTTCCAAATTTGCATATTGAACCTGCATATAACGAAATCCTTTTTATAAGAAATTTTTGGGGGAATTCATCAATTTCAATATATCCAGGTTTAACTGGAGTATTGAAAGTTGGGCTCACATTGCTCACATGAGATAGAACAAGGCCAAGAAATTTTTAAACCACTACCCACCCACCTCTCACACTCTTTCTTTCAAATACGAAGCATTTCTTAGCGAACTTTGGTGACTTTGAGCATTTCCATGCCTGCCTGTTTGCCTGCCTGCCTGCCCGCCTGCCCGCATGCCCGCCTGCCCGCATGCCCGCCTGCCCGCATGCCCGCCTGCCCGCATGCCCGCCTGCCCGCCTGCCTGCCCGCCTGCCTGCCCGCCTGCCTGCCTGCCTGCCTGCCTGCCTGCCTGCCTGCCGACCAACCCACACACCCAACCACCCACCCACCCACCCACCCACCCACCCACCTACCTACCTACCTACCTCTAGACGCTTACGTTTGGGTGCTCTCGTGGTCACCCCCTTAACTTGGCGTGAACCAAAATTAGCATGGATGGTAAAATGGTTTGACGAATATGACGCACTGGTCAAGACATGAATAATGTCACAATTTCCTCCCGTACCTCATCAAACACTTCCCCCCAGGCAGTGGCACATACCCACAAGAGGGTATGTGTCTCTGGTACGTGGGTATGTGCCACAGGTGATTAACACTTAGTATGTGCCACAGATGATTGACACTTAGTAGCTACCCAGGAACGACGAGAACACTGAAGGGCAACTTTAATGCGTGGGCGTTAAGAAACACCTGACATAAGTAGCGTCGACCCAACGAAAGCATAGAATAAATGTCAGGGTTCCAGCTGGAATCGAACCAAAGCATTCTATGTGGCAATGAAGCATTCTACCACAGAGCTAAGCCAGGTCTCGAAACTACTTTTCAAATAGATGCTAATGTTTGTGAAACGTCAATAGCGGTTGCTGTGCTGCCTATTCAATTTTATAAACATTATATATGAACACCTTTGATACAGCCGTCACAACGGGTTAACGTCAATTGTGGTTAGGTGCCATGCGCTGAAGTTGATTTATGCAGCAGTGTCCAAGGCCAGCATCTTCGCGAGCATCATATCAGCTTCTGGTGTTGCTAGTACGCATGTTCCAGTTGGCATCATTGCACAAGTGCAAACAACTGGTTATATAAATATCTGTAACTCTTCAACGTATGTCTGTGTGTGCAACATTTGTGCATATATTTAGCATCACATCATGACGTGTCGATCAATGAAAAAATTGCAACACAGTCACCTTCCCTCAGCATGCTTCGCATAATGTCAATTTCCAGGTTCGCGGGATTTTTTTCACAGTGTAGTTACGTTTATTGCACAACTTCTTGGCTCACTTGCAAGGCACATCCGATCAGATAAATTAAGAAGGATGCACATCTGTTGGGTCTGGCCGCGGAACCGGATATCTATCAGTGGGACGATGCAACTAGCACGCACTGTACCCAAAAATACAGGTAGTATTGCTAGCTCTTATGCAAGGCTTATGCACACCATCCCAAAATACGGATCAGTGCTCAAAATCACTGTTCTGCTGTTACACTTCTTGCCATGATTACAGCATTACTCGTGTATCTGAACATTCTTTACTATAAATATAAAAGTGTCCGAACACATACAAAATAAAATGCTATCTTTTTTTTTTAAGCAAATATTGAACTGCGATTGCGTCAGGAAACTTACTTGCTCTAATCTGTCATCCCATAGCACGACTCCTAGCACTACCCTCCTCATCTCCTCATTGCCATTCCTTTTCTCTCTCCCTCCACCTCAATGTTTTGTCATATAGTTCTACAGCCTTATAGTTTTAATCAACTTAGTGTGCCTAGTCGAAGTTTGAATGCCTTTTTTCAACAGCTAACACTGCATTAATGCAATGAAGCACATCTTTTTATTTTCGCCATCTTCTCACGGCACATTTTTCAATGTATAATTGTTGTACTCAATTCACTGTAGTAATCAATTTAATGAATACTTGCACACTGCACTCATAATGGAAGACACTGTAAAACTATCAACTTAAAGCCAAAATATTTATTGAAATATGGTACACACCACGTAAATTTACTATTATGAAGGCATTTTGTTATGAATTGCAATGTCTTGTGTTTACTCAAATTTTTCACAGCCCCTACATTTTGCAACACTTTCAAACAACAAAATGAAGCTCTCCTGAAAGCTCGCCTTACAGCAGCTAACTGCTACAAAAGGCAACTGTAAATTATAAAGCACACCCTGCATTTAACACCTATCTAAAGCACATCTAAAGAAGACAACTTTACCTCTTGCTACTTGCATACTGATACTAGTGACACTCACACAACATGTAAGATGAATCACGCCAGCTATAGATCTGAACAATAATAAAATCATTACCTTCAGTATTGAGAGTTATAAGGGTCACACTTGAACCTGCAGCGAAAGCTGCTACTGGTTCTTCGTCCAAGGAGACAATAGCAGAAGAGCCTACAGCAAATAAATATTGAGCTATATGCCAGTCACGGTAAAATAAAGGTGATAAACAGCATTACCTCCAGAGCTGAAAATAAAAGAAAATGCATTAGTGAAATTATGCACGTGTGCTCTCCACACCTTAAAAGATTAAAAATTTGTTTTATTTACCTGGATAAACGGACGTACCTGCCAACACCTGAGGAAGCTGTCGATACATGCTCTTTCACAGCTGTTGATAGCACTTCAAGTTTGTCTTCCAATGTTTGGCACTGGTCTCTTAGAGCATCCACGCGCACTTCGAGTATTTCAAGTTTCGCAAATATGCTTTCCTTAAAGGACTGAAGCAGAGCCTGAAGATATATTTAAAAATAAATGCCTTAAAGATTGCCAAGAAGCGTCACCGAGCCTTATGACACCGCAACGTAGCATTAAGCTCCATTCAAAATGCAGGGCTACAAGCAAATCTCATGCACCTTACTCAGAGAAATTCATGAGAGAAAATTTGCTAAACAAACTTAACATTAACACAACTATTAATTAAATCTGGCTGCGAGCATCATGAAACATCAAATATATTATCTCTTTAGTATTGAAGAAAAGCAAAGGATTTTGGGTGAACATGATTTTTGTTCTTTAACACAAGCATTATTCACAAGTGAACATCTAATCACCAGGCCAAGAAATAATTGAGCAAAAACATTAACGATCACACTGACATATTAAATAAGAACGATGAAAGCAACAAAAGAGTTACACACAACTAAGTGCATGCAAATGATATCAAACACATCTTTAAGGAAGCTACAAAACCCTTCCTCCTTTCTCACAACATTAGCCCAAAATGTCAAATTATGTCATCGAAACCAACGATCAACTAACCCACCACCGAGAATTTTCACACATGGAGAAAAACACACACAGGGTGCCCCAGCTACCTCCAGCCAGAGTTTAAAATATGCCAACCCAATCTACAACAATGAGATAAATACATGTTGCCAACAGCTGCGCATAGTAAATCACATTATTTCTCATTTTCTTCCTGACTGCCTAATTAGCAATTTTTATCAGCAATTTTTGAAGCAACTAATTTCGGTAAAAGATTCCAATGAGAAAGCTGTAGATCAGTTTGCAAAAACTCCAGCAGAAGGCTTTCCAACTTTTTATCTATTAAATCTTGCTGTATTTCTGCTTACTACACACGCCCACAGAATACAACAAAATACGTGAAATGCGCCCTTGCACGCCACGATTGCACTGCTCCCTAAACGTTTATGTGCAACAACCATAGCATTCGGCCGGGTGTGCTGCCTCAATAGAACAGCAACAATAGTGGTGGCAGTGCGATGACACACATTTTGATAGTTGCTAAAATTATATCACTGCAAAGGGAGCATATAGCTTATACGTGGATGGTTAGGAAGCACTGGAATCGTTACAAACACAGACGTGCAAGCGGGCATATCACATGCTATGTTTTTTTTTATCTTGCACACAGCTGTAGTAAGCAGGAAAACACTAATGCGTAATGTCAAGTCGAATGTTTTGCAAACCAATCTTCAATTTTCTCATTGGAATTTTTCGGTCATTTAGAAAACTGCCTAGTAAGGCAATTGGGAATGGATGAGCATGCATGTGTGTGTGTGTAAGTGCGTGCACGTACAAGCATGCAGATTAATGGGTTAACGCACCGGAGGTGTTGACATCAACAGCAGAACAGATATTTATGTTGTGTGTGAGAAACAGAATAATTTGTCAAAGTTTGAACAGGCTTTGAATGACTATCCGTACGAGTGACCCGCTTGATTTTAACGTAACCTGCAGTTGTGTATTTGTTTATGATGTTTTTTTTTCTTTTTTTATTATGTTATCCTTTCTACAAAGACTTGGAAGAGTGTTAACAGAATTGCGAATAAATAAAAAAAAGTGCCAAAACTCCCGCAAAACAGTACACTACTTCATTTTCTTTCTTGAAATATAATAATGAGAGCCTCAGAATTATGGTACACAAGTTTTACACATCAGTAGACAGAGTCATAACTTGCACCTGAAGAGGATATTTTATGATATGCTATTCAGTCAGCATTCAATCAGAATTCTTTCTGAACAAAGCCAGCAGGTTCCTATGTTAGATGCGGAACAAACGTAACACGGTGTTATACGACTGCACAAAAAAATTTTGCCATACAAATAGGAGGGAAATTGCAACAATGTACATAACTTATGAGAAAGCACAAAGAAATAAAAACTGTTTCTTAGTCCTCCTTCTTTCGTGGCGTTTCCCTATAAACAAAATGCCAATTTAGTAAAATACAAAAACGCTAGGCTGCACATATTCAACTGCACATTGTGTGTGGGCCACTCCAGTGATGAGTGCATATTCAACTCTCAAACAGTAATAGACATACATGTACGTCATCCACTAACAGCCACAAGACGGTCAAGGATGTACATGTACGTCATTGACTGTATGTCTGAAAGGCATGCCTTTTGCGTTCATTTTTCTTCTTTGGCATTTGCTGCCACACTGCAGGAATACATAAAATTTTTTTTTCTTTAATCGATGCCTCAGAGCATTTTTTTTTTTTACGCTTTACTACAGCAGTACACTGGCTAGTTTCGGTTTTATTCTTCTAGTGATTCCAACTTGTTGCGCTTGCAAAACTGACGAGTTACTTGCGATAAGTTATTTACAAGCCAAGACTCCGACGTTGATGAGAGGGCAAAATTTCAAAAGCGTGCACAGTGAGATGATGCTGACTGGATCAAAGGTGGCTTTTCTAGTCCCATGTTTGCACTTGTCACTTTGTGCACTTGTGTTTATACGCCTGTGAACTTTACAGATGTTTATTCCAATGCATAACTTAACAGTTCTATAGGCTTGTTTTTAAAATTTATATTGTTGTTACTTAGGAATAAACAATGTTTAACAACACAAATTATTTGTCGTTTTACAGTCACCCAAAAAAAAGTTTGACAATTTTTTTTTCTTAGATAGATTCATCTGAAGAATTTATTACAGCAATAGAAAAATACACAATTTTCGGGATACATTTCACAAAAAAAATTGACCCTCATATGATTAGAAATACTGTTTTTGTACATGGAATTCATGCTATTTCAGATATGTGTACACTACCACCCGTTTGCTAATTATTAATGTCACTTTTTGTACTATTCGAGACAGTCAAGACAATGTTCTGTAGTGTTTTTTGCCAATCTGAAATCCATCTGTTTTTGCAGTTACCTATAGACACTTTTGCCATGCCGCTAGAAGTGCATCCAAAGCATTCTTAACAAGGTGTTGAGAAAAGGTCTTGGCCTATTCAAAACGTAGCACAAATTTTTCATGTTGGGGTGTATTACTAACTTTTCCAGTGTCCAAAAAAAGCATCCTATATTTTTCTGTCCTTTTCTGTTTTAAAGAAGACCTTTTTGAGATGGTAGCCAACAATTGCAACTATAGGCAGAGAAAATAATGGAGAAGCGAAAAGAAAGAATGAGCAACGATGCTACCTTAAAAGTACGAAGGGACCGTGCCTTCCAAAAGAACAATAATATTAACTTACCTTTGCACTGTAAGGCTGATCCATCTCTCCCAACCTCATTCGTTTTAAGCCGTTGACACCCTCAATGTCTTCGTCATTCAATGAACTGTCGGCACTGTTTGGGTGCTTCATATTTCTTGAAGAGAAAGAAAGTTCATTTTTCAACCAACATTTCCTCTGTCACACCTACAGGCACAAGGCTTCCTCATAGGAAAGGTATGGACTAATACAAAGCAAGTGTCAAAAGTTATCAAAAATTTTAAAAAAGAACAGCAGCTGTTTCGTCAGATTTATTTTACTCTCTTGAATCACATGTAACAATTTAGAGTTAGCACTACTAGCATGAAGCTGCAATATTAAACTTCAACTGCCCTATCAAAACATAAGTCAATCAAAATATCCTACTCTCATAGGAACCAATCTATTAAAAGCCCCAAACCCCACAAATTACCACCTTTCATTAAACCAGAGCCATAAGGTAGTGGCTTAACAATGACCTTTAACATAAAAAGGTAGCCTCATGGGCATATCAGCTGGGGGGGGGGGGGCAAGGGGGGCACAAGTCTTTCCACTGAGAAAAGTTGGGGGGCTCAGCCCCCCACTTTCGACAGTGGTCACTCTTGGCTTTACGCTGGAGATACCAACAAGTAAAGCGAAGTTTTCCATCACAACAGTAATAACTCGATGAAGTTCTTATGGGAGAATGAAAATGCAACGAGGCAATGTTACAACATGGTGAAATTTCACCAACATTTCCGCTGTGATAATTTTTCTTGTAGGTTCTACGCGGTGCGGGTCGCCTAGGCAACGTTTTTGCGTCTTGCGCTGTAGTATTGCAGAGCAGGCAAGAGCTGAACAGGGGCCCTATAATATTACATCACTTGTTCATGCTTTTGTTCTGCTGTGACTTGTTGATGCAGTTACGGATGGGAACAAGCAAACTTTTTATGGATCGGTCAAATCATTTGCAGCTTCGGGAAAATAATTTTCTTCGAAAAGGGTATATCATCATCACTGCTCTGTCAAAGCTGTTGCGAGCTGATGATTGTGACAAATCGTTTTTGATGTTTAAGTTTTTCCGCAATGAAACGCCAAAAATTGTTTCTGCTTTAGTCTTTGTAGAACCTGATCAGCCTTGCTTATGATAACTTGGAAGTTGGAGCTAAAGTTGCAATAAAACGCAAAAGTAAAATACGCCTTTACAGAGGTAATTGAATATTTCCTGTGCATTGATGAATTAGGGTTCACCAAATGTATGTTTTGATGTTTGGAAGCTATAGCCCCGTTTAATGTTTATATATTGCTACGATGAAAGATGTTTATTTGAAGACAGGCTGACGGAAAGAGGCTAAATGGCTGCCGCCCTGCACCGATCCACTCGCAAGACAAGCGCTCTTCGTCCTCCCTGTCGTGTTAGCGTGGCACACCTCCCCCCATAGACGAAGCCCGCCGGGTGAGTAATGGCTACGTGAACGTGGAGTCGCGGGGGTGACAGCATTTTAGGCACGCGACGTGAACAAGTTGCGTCTGGCGAGAACGGTAGCCGTGATTGAAGAGACGAGCTGTTGAGTACATCAGGTCACTGAAGCGGTCAACGATGACGAAGGGGCCAGTATAACGAGCCAGAAACTTTTGATACCAGCCACGTTTGCGAAATGGCGCCCAGAGTCAAAGTATGTCGCCTTTGTCGTAAGACACGTCTTTGTGTCGTGAATAGTAGGTGATCTGGAAACGGTCCTGGGATGCCAATGTACAAAGTCGAAACTACACGCCGTGCTTCCTCTGCGCGGCAGAGAGTCGAGTAATAGAAAGGTCTGCATGAGTATAGAATGGCGGAATGGTGTCAAGGAAGAATCGGGACGGTCAAACTTAAAAGAAGTAGAAGGGACTGTAGCTAGTGGCTTCATGCCTCGCTGAGTTGTAGACGTACGTAATAAAGGGGAGGATGTCAACCCAATTCTTGTGCCTTGAATTGACGTACATAAAAATCATATTGGTGAGCATTTTGTTCGTACGCTCCACGAGACTATTTGTCTGTGGATGATCAGGGGTCGCGCGGCGAAATTGACAATCAAAGAGACGCAAAAGCTCTTTGACAACATCGGCAACGAACTGGCGTCCAGGATCACTCACAATAATGCGAGGTGGTCCATGGAGAAGTACGACTGTCGACAGGAGGAAGCTCGAAACATCAACTGCCGTGGCTGTTGGCATTGCGGGGGTCTCTGCATAACGCGTTAGGTGATCAACACAAACGATGACCCAATGATTGTTGTTTGATGAGCACGGGAAAGAGTCGACGAGATCTACTCCCACCATTTCGAAAGGCGTTGAGGGTGGTGTCAAAGGGTGAAAAAGTCTGATTGGGGCAGTGTTCTGACGCTTGAAATGTTGGCATTTGTCACAAGTGGCCACATACTTTTGTATATTCTTTCTCATTCTGGGCCAGTAGAATCTACCTTGAATGTGGTGATACGTTTTGGCGAAACTCATGTGTCCGGCGGTCCCGTAATTGTGCATAGCATGGAGCACGTCTCGTTGCAACTTTGTGGGGACCACTAATGATAAGCATGCGCCATCAGCCTCATAATTCTTTTTATAGAGCAGGTCATCTTGCATAACAAAGCCATTGTTGTTTGTCGGCTGAGCAGCTGAGTCAAAAAGGACGTCTAGGGTGCGGTCGTCGCGCTGTTTTTTCCTGAAGGTGGCGAGGTCAGGAAAACGTGTATTGTCAATGGAGGCTAGGAATTCATCAAAATTGTCGGCGCCACAAGTAGTTGTGGGTAGCGGGAGCCACGAAAGACCGTCGGCATCGGCATGCTGGCGGTCACTCTTATAACGGACCGCAAAGTCAAACTTCTGCAAGCGTAGCGCCCACCAAACAAGGCGACCGGATGGGTCACAAAGACCAACTCACCAACAAAGTGATGGTCGGTAACAAGCGTTGTAGGGGTGCTGACACCCCCTGTAGGGTTGTTTGCGCCACATGGTGCACGTGTCTCGCCCAAAAGCCGCACTTCAGGCTACAACCACCGGCAATAGATGTATTCGCGTTGAGGACCACTATCATCATCATGGCTGTTACAGTGGTAGCACCAGCGGTGACCCCTTGCAGAAGCAAGCCTTGGTGGCGGGTGAGAGTTGAGCGAGTCTCTTCCGACGCGTGGCGGTTGCCGCGAACGGTTGTTTCTAGCGTGGGTCCTCGGCGCGCGGTACCGCGGCCCGCGTACCGGGGACTCGTGGTAAGTCAAGCGATGGCGACGCCGCCTTGGGTGTGTTATTATGTTTGTCATGTTATTGTGTTTGTCATGAAGTGCATGGTCAGATTGCCACATTGAATATGCAGCTACAAGAGAACAACAAAGAACACGCGCAGCGAGAGAAAAAGACGAGGTTCTCTTCCGATCAGTTTGCCAGTGTTCTGGTACAATTAAAGTGAGTTTCCTGTATTCAACTGCTACTGTTTCTGCCCTGTGACACTGATAGAGGTGCTGGGTACATGTTCAGGATGCCTGACAACAGCCCCGCATCTAGTCCAGAAAGACTTCCGTGCATCGACACCCCCGTTCACCGCAGCAGCCGCTGCCTGTTAGGCCTCAGCCCGGAGTTCAGTCCATTGCCGGAAAGCGTGACCGTGCCAGAAAGCATGACGGCGCCTGGAAGCACTGGCCCCAACATGTCCAGCCCAAGCACGACACAGGTGAGTGTTTTGAACCCTCGACTTTCGGTTGACATCCACGGAAACGCATTTGAGGACACACATGACTGGCTCGAGGAATTCGAGCACACAGCGAATCTTAACAGGTGGAATACCACACAGAAATTGGGCTACGTTTATTTTCCGCTTCAAGACGGAGCCCGAACATGGTTCACGAATCGCGTGTGGTCGTCTTGGGACGAGTTCCGCCAGAAGTTCCTCGACATGTTCGCGAGCACTGAAAGACAAGAAATCGCACAGCATCTCCTCGAGTCACGGATTCAGAAATCAAATGAATCCGTTACGATGTTTGTTGAGGACATGGCGCGGCTATTTCGTCGAGCAGATCCTAATATGCCCGAAGCCAAAAAGGTTAGCCACCTCATGGGGGGCGTTAAGGAGCAGCTCTTCGTTGGTCTCGTACGAAACCCACCTACAAGTGTTGATGAATTCTCCAAAGAGGCGACATCTTCGAACGCGCACTGCATCTGCGCTATCGCCAGTATGACCACCCAACCCACAGTGCACCGATCAGTCTGGCAGCCACAACCACAGCAACAACACCCATTGAAGGTTCTTTGCACCAACTAATACAAGAAATCGTACAAGAAGAGGTCAAGAAGCTCGTTGCCAAACCGAATGACTGCGCGATCGCCTCAGTAACAGAAGTTGTACGCCAGGAGATCAGGCAAGCGCTCTCGCTTCCTGAGCCGAACACGAGCACTCCCAGGGCAAGCTATGCAGACATAGTCTGCTGACAGCCAGCGAACGTGCTGACACCACATCAGTATCACCAGCAACATTCGCCAGCAGCGCCTTGGTACTACAGAGAAACTTCAACGCCCAGGCGGCCACCACTTCGCAAAACTGAAATCTGGCGTACCTCTGACCATAGGCCCCTGTGCTTTCATTGTGGGGAAGCAGGCCACATCGTTCGGTATTGCCCGTATCACGTCGAGGGTACAAAGGATTTCCTTCCACTATTCCTCGGCGCCATTTCAACGAAACACCTGACGTCGACACGAGTGTCATGACCCTGCGGGATGTTCGTCCTGGGTTTCGATCGCGCTCACCCTCTTCTGGGTGTTATTATCCATCCTCTAGACGGAGCACCACTGACATGCCAAGAGGAAGATCTCTTAGTCCACGCCAGGGAAACTAAAAGCAGCGACCTCAGGCGGGAAGGTTGCGAATCGTCGAAGTGCTGAAAATCCCCCAATACTGCCGAGGGAAGGGAGACACATTTTCAATGAATCCACGAAAGATGGGGTTGTTACTGCCGAAGTTGCAATTACAATTGACGGACATGACGTCATGGCATTGGTCGACACTGGCGCGGACTCCTAAATAATGAGCGAGAGTCTGGCAGACAAGCTCAGGAAGGTTAGAATGGAATGGACAGGACCACAGATTAAAGAGCTAAAGGGCAGCTACTCACA